ATGCGTATGTTCTGCTTTCAAAGAACGAAAATTAGACAACTGCGCCAAATTCTTTACTGCACCGTACTCTAGCTGGCTTTCGAAGATAAATTCAACATATTAGGTTGAAAAAGAGCAATATGAGACGACCACTCTTTCGGCTATCACACCTCCGACCGCTTTGAACAATTTGGGTTGCAAAATGATCTTCTATTTTTGTTTTCAATTTGTCACTTTTGTTAATTTTTTTGCGCAAAAATTAAATCTGGCGTAACTACTGATTACCAGCACGAAGGGTGAAGAGGTTGGTGAGTGTGCGCACGGTAAGATGATGTATTTCAAATCGTGCTAATCTGTACGTGTGTGTCTGTAATAACGCGGTTAGCTCAAACTTAAACGTACTAAGTGTTTTTAGGCCTGTCTCCACCACATAAGTATCGGCAAGTAAGAATTCAATCATTGACAAGGTCAATTCTGTGATGCACGCACGGGTTCGGCTTGAAATCAATCAAAGTAGAATTTTATCACATCAGCAAATACTGGGCAATTAAAAGAAATTGCCGATCTCTTTGCCCCAACTAACTGAGCTAGGCGAATATAAGCGTTGATAGCTCCACACTCATTGTTTAGTGAATGTTGATGTATTGTGTTTTGCAATTTGATTTAGTTAAATAACACAAATTACAAACATCAAAGGACGACATCCAGAGCGCGCTCCCCTATCTAATTTGTTTTGGTTCGGGTTTGACTTGTTTGCGCTCGTACTTGTAATCAACAGGTAGATTTTGCTTCCAATGTCAATTTAAGATCAGATTCTTGATCACCTTACCAAAAGGGTACTTCGAATACACCTACATTTGTTGCAAAAAGCACCAAATTCTCCTCAAATATCCATACAGCTTACAATTGTTTTATCACAAACAGTGTGAGAATAATCACTAATTTACAAGAGTTCAGCGATTTTTTAGCCTTCGTCAGGCCTCTCTTTCCGTCTTCGTAAATATTTACTCTACACGTCGATAAATCAATGTATGCATTTCCCTGTGGTGGTGCACCTCACGCTAGAGAGCCTTCAGTTGCTCCTGCTTAGATCTCATCAACAATTCGTGATATGCTACTATTTAATTTGCTTAATACACCCATACAGACATAATATTACTGTCAATTCTTTTTTCACGCTCCGTTTTGGAGTTATAATGACCTACTGACATTGTCAATTGCTATATTCCCTCTCCATCACGGAATTGTAAATACCTTGGTCAGGCCAGTACGAATTTGAGAGGAATCTGTCCGTATCGTTAAGCAGTACGCTGCGCACAAAATGTTTTACTGTCAGCACATTCTTCTTGGTTGCTTGCAAGATAATAAATTTTAATGATTTATTCAAAGATTAAAGGGATTATGTGAATGTGGAACTTCGGCCGTTTGTGTGAGTGCACGACCACATTTGACGAAAACATTTTCGATATTGAGCCCGGCCAATACATTTTAAACGACTGCCATTATGGAACACATCAGACGAATAAGGTATATATACTGTTGGCACTGAGTGTGTCACAAGAAGGAGACAATATGAAGACCCTGATTTGCACTGATGCATTATTCTGTAGCTACTTCAACGTATAATGCGCTTATGTGACAATACAATATTACACTTAATACTTGCCAAAGCTATTTTCTAAATATATTTCACTGAATAACTTAAACTAGACGAACTTTTAAACAAGATCAAGTGATTACAACAATATTTATCATTAATTCAACTTACAAGTTCTGTGCGGGAGACTAATGCAAAGAATTTTTACACATTTCTTACAATTATTACGCCTCCAACCGTTTTGCATCCGAATTATCAGTATGTTTTTGGCATGCTCTTGCGTAGTCACTCTTAATTAATCCACTAATCTGAAAAGTTATAGGAAATCTATTCTGCAATGCAAAGTAGGTGGTGTCATGTAAAAGCAACGGTACCCAAAAGAATATGTTTACTGCTCTATTACTTTATGGATGTTCTTTTGTATGTACAGTGGGTGTTTCTAAGTACTCATTTCTTATGTTTTTATGCTATGTGGAAAGGCAACAAAGCATGTAGTTGTTTGAGCAATACGTGTAAGTATATTTACATATTTAATCTTTGCTAGCGCGGAAATGAACTTCTGGTGTTCATGCGTTGAGTATCCACTCCACGATCAAGTTTGACAATATCATCCTATGCACTTATGTAACAGACCGAGCTATTATTTTGTCGCTAGTCTTGCGATACATGGCTGTAACTCGCATCATAACGTAAACGCCAACGCTGCATAAATATTTTTACCGAGATTAATCATTGCGCTCAATTTCTCAAAAAGTTGCATCGAATTTTAGTACATAAAGGTTGCTCCATTTATCTTTAAATAGCTGATGTGCGACTGATACATTTCTCTGTAAATTAAAATCATGCGCTCTAATTACTCTTAAAACGCAGTGGTGGCTTGCTCGCAATGTAAACGCCGTACACTGAAATGTCTGCGCTAGTCTGTGTTATTGCATCAAAAAATGAGTTGTCATTAGGATTCTTCGCTGACAGTGGTCTTGCCTTAATTGTGTAGCTTTTAATAATACTGATAGTTTTACAAACACAAAATTTCTTTCTGCGGTTAAAACAACGGTTTCAGGTGATAAAGTATCGTCAAAAATAATACCTTTTTTATTATTCTAGGCTGTCGTCAGCCTCTTGTTATTAGAATTAATTGACTTCATGCCACTGTGCTGCTTTAAGAACAACGTTCAATGAGGCAGTGATTATCGTTTTGTTTATTGCGATGACATTTACCATTTAACGTGCTATTATAGAAGGTCACGAGAATATACTCGCTGTTTTTAAAGGCCACAAAGCATCTTGGATCGTTTGCAGGTAACACAAAGATCGAATATCCACAATACTACGTTCCAAAAACGAATAGTAAATTCTAGCCGCATTGAGTAAGACTGTCGTTTTGGTCCAAAAGACACATATCAGCAGGATACATTCCACAATATTTTCCTCAAGTCCGTTAAAGTGACAGCTCTTTTTTTAAATGTCAGCAGGCGAGCTCTATTTATATGCATAATCTTGGCGTCACGTAATTTAGTGATATAGCCGCAGCAATGAGATAGTGCTTGCGCATATTGATCTATCTTTCCCTTCGAACCTTAAAGTACGATGCACGAGAGTAGCTGATTTCATAATCATCTTTTAGTGTAAAGGGATGATACTGTTACACGTAATCAACCCTTAATAATTGTTAAAGAAAGAATGCTATCACAAAGGTTGATAAAAATCGAAATATTATCATAGGGGTAATGATGACGCAAACAAATAGTGGTGAGCAATACTTGAGCGGACACTTTTGTCAATTACGTACTGCAAAAGTACTAAAATCTCGATTTACGATTTGAATTTAACTACAAATGTTCAGTTTTCTTTTACCAGCAACTTGTCGATTAATAATTGCTCATCTTTTCTCTGCATCGTTCCAAAGAGATATCAATGCATCACTCACACTGCTGTCGGTATAAATGGATTCAAGCTGGTCGTTCAGTGTGTTGTTCCGGTCTCCCCTTGTACCTGGTAGCACTTTTTAGTCCTTCCAAGGAAGAAAGAAATTTTTTATACGATCATGTTGTACGGTGAAGGCGACCCGGCCTGCACGGCACCCGTGAAAGTAACTGCTTTTTTAATTATTAAATGGAGTGCAGTCGAACGAATAAATTCGACCGTCGGAGAAGCAGATATCTGGTCTTTGCTACCCTCAAGAGCTTAGGAACAGCAGCAATTCATAATTGCCAAGTTCGTGCAACGAGAACTCTATTTGTTAATAGATGAAGTGACCCTGCTGCATCAGCAATGTATCCAGCAGACTGAGCTCCTGAGACAGCAACAGTTTTACTCTGAAGTGCACCGTCGACGCGTAAGCGTCGATGCGAGACTCTTAAATCAAAAGCCTCCGAGTACTGGGATGTCGAAAATTACCCTCTAACAAGATTTTTTTTGGGTGTGGACAATGTCATTAAGTCTAGCCACATCAATGATGAGGACTTGCAAGCTGCATTTACAAATAAATCTTGTTACTGCGTGCCAGAACTTGGATCTATTTTATCTATAATTACACATTACATGTACCGGGGCACGCTTCGATTGGGGTGCCACGAAAATTTACGTACACTAGTTAGTGCAGAGGAAGCTGATCTGCTCCAACAGCTATTTGAGTAAAGGGTAAAAAAGAGAACAATACTTATTATAGTCAAGCTATCAATACAACTTCAATCTTAATCTAACTACATTAATCTATGTCGACGTATGACGACAACCGGCTCATCACTCATTGCGCGCGTCCAGCAGCGATTGGTGGTAATCTATGGTTGATATGTCTTTATCAACCAATCTTTGAGTAGCGCATGAATATTATCCAAAAGGGGATAACGTTCCGTCAATATTATCCATCTCGGATAATATTGGTAGGAAATAGTCATGCTGGACAATCTCCCTATTCACACCATTCGGTGTCAATATCATGTAACGGTGTACCCCTTACATCACCCCCCTCCCTAACCATCAACCACCCTTTATTTGGATTTAAATGATTGTTACAGGGTGACAACCTTTGGATCACTCTGAGAAGGGGAGCACTTGTTGGTCAAATTCCAACTCATTTGCCATTTCATCGCATGGTGACAAAGTCCATGCAATGTGCTGAAGCAGCCAAAAAGGCGGTTGCACGCATGCGTGCAACTGAAGATAGCACTTCTTTTACTTCAGAAACAGGCAGTGCCTGTTGTGAATAGTCCACGTGGTGAGTCAATACGTGCGACAAATTACATTTACTGCGTCCGCAGCGAGTGCTGCAAATCGCAATGTAGATGAGCCTGAAACAGAGCTCATCTTTTCCGGCGAGCCGGATGATCCATCTGACGCGAAGGCGACACCTCATGCCTCCCGATCCCCCGGGGCGGACACTGGAAGAGCCAAGTTGGCTGGATCTGGTCAACGCGGCGGTATCATGACCGAGATCTTCGGATTGGGCGAAGACTCTGACGAATCCTTGTCTCACGCATGGCCGTCTAACGATAAGACGCGTGGGGATGGTGGTGATGCACCTATATATCACCACTATAGAAGCAACTCGAGGGATCGAGCTGCTACTGGTGTCAGTGCTCATGCTGACACCACACAAGAGGCCAGGGACCGCAATGTCCTGTGGTATGCCCCTCAAGTGGAGTCTCCTTGGATGCCGCCATCTAGAGAGTTGGACCGGTTGACCGGCACGACTACCGAGCGGGATCGAATCCCGTTGTTCTAATGCAGGAAGATTTGCCCACCTGATTACAGAACGAAAACTATTCGTGCTGAGGAAGAGTTCTTCACCGATTTGTTCTTCGAACATCGGTGGTTCAATGGCAGCCGAGTTTGAGACGGCAAAGCCTTGGAACAGGGATGGAATGCCCTCATCCACAACATCGAGTGCATTGGCCGTGAGGCCTGGCTCGCCAAACTTGATGCAGCTCGCATCAGGTTTGAGAAACGCAATCTAGTCGGGGCGCGATACAAGTTGTACCGGTATTTAAGAGAGACAGGATTACTCTGTCTCTCGTGGGGTGATTCGTGTCCAGGTTGCCTAATAACTCGATTCGTGCCCCTAGGGAGGCCTACCTCCCTAATGATCCCTACTGGAGGCGCGCATCTCTTCTGAGATGGCCAAAGGTATTAATACTTTGCAATCCATGTACTCGCGTTCGGGGAGGTCGTTTTCCGACGGCCCTTCTTCAAACGCAGCGGATGGATTTCGCCGTGCTGATCGACTAGACCCAGGACATCAACAATCAGCTGGGCACGAGGCTCCCAGCTGTCCCACGCCGGTGGATAGCCACGCCAGCGGACGAGGTAACTCGTCCGGACGCCATTAACATCGCGGTGGTCCAAAATACGCTCCACTAGGAAGCGTTGACCACCGCTTGAGTCCACCAAAGGATGTGGTGGCGGCGGGAACACCTGATCCGGCTCGAGGGTCGGATCATCTTGATATTCAAGAGCCGAACTGTGCAACGGATCAGTTACACGACGACTTGACTCATGGACGAACTCGGCGTCATGAGCTTGAGGATCTTGTGAGGGATAATCATAATTCCCTAACGCACGATCGCTCGAACGATCGTACCGCTTTTGCGTGCGCGCAACTTGAGATCGAAACGTTCGACTCGTTCTATTCGTGACGAGCTGGCTGTAGCTCGTCGAGACATCGCTGAACTGCGTGAGAAGGTCGCTTCTCTAGTCGACCAGACTGGATCATTAAACGGGACCACTCGAAGGTGGTCTCGGCTATCGACCGCGGAGGTGATCTTCGCCTCTCGAAACGGGCTCGTACGGATAGAACGGGCGGAGACGTCAAACGTAAAATTTAGGATGCGTACGCATCCTACGAGGCAGTTCGATAGTGTATGCGTTGCCTATGCGGCGCAATACACGAAATGGACTAATGTACTTGGGCAGTATTTTGCTGCTGCTCACGTTTGTCACAGCGTGTTTTGGTAGATTTACTGTAGACAGCAAAACCAAGTACCCTTCATTTAAATAAATAACCGTCTTGAAAGAAGCGGACAGCCGCTTCGCGTGTCAGCAGAAATTCCTGTGCTGATTCATCCTTGTCAACAGCAGTGCGCTTCGTGTGCACTGCTAAAAGAACGCTATCTTTACCAGTGAAAGCGTCATCGGTCTCACTTTGGCAGTCATTGGCGATGCTGAATATACCAGCATCGTTGCCATCATTATCGATATCAATCGCATCGACATCGGCATCCATCACGTCGACACCATTGTCGACGGGTGATGAGCAAGAACCAGATCGGTTTTCGTTTGAGCGAGTCTACCCACCCTATCTAAACTAGAGTCACACTATAAGGAGGCGGGTAAACGTGGATGGCATAGGCCATTCACGAAGAACAGTGTATGCGTTGTCGACGAGTGCAATGAGTTGTTGATGGCGAATACCGCCATCGACAAGAACTCAGCCCAGCTCGTAAACGAGTTGACATACCCTCGAAGTGTCTCTTGGAGAACGCGGTTGACGCGTTCCGTCTGACCATATGTTTCTGGATGGTCAGAAGTCGACATCGTGTAACGTGTTCCATGTGAACGGAACACGGATTGCCAGAACCCCTCCGTAAAGCGGGGGTCTCGATCAGACACAAGTTCACGGGGTAACCCGTGGAGTCGGAAGATAGTATCGATGAAGACGCGAGTACAGCCCTGGGCTCTGATTGACTCCGGTACAGCTACAAGGTGTACCAAATTGCTTAAACCATTAAAAAACACTAGGATACCAGTATTCTTGTGATCGCACTTAGGTAACGTAAAGACGAAGTCCGTCGATACGGACTACCAGAACTCTGACAGAATCGGTAGAGGCCGCAACAGTGCACGAGATGGATTTCTAAAAGTCACCCGTTGGCAAACTTCGCAAGCGCGAATGCATTTGCGCACAAACTCATACTGACGAGGCCAGTAGAAGTAACAACTTACTGTGAGGTAAGTCTTTCTCTACCGCGATGTCCACGTGTTGGGGCATCGTGACACTCATACATGATGCGCAATCGCAAATCATTAAGAGCCGGAACGACGACACGAGCTGTGTCGCCGTTGACTACTAGAACAGCAGTCCATCACGAACAGAATACCGTTCTATTTAAAGAAGGGATTGAGACGACAAGCTTTTCAAATCTTGACTGCACGGATTGGATATGTAACCCATCCATCGCAGAAGAGACTCATCTTCTAGGTATGCTTTTCGCACGTCGTCGAGCAGATTTGACGACGGAAAAATCACTTACTATTAGTGTCGCTACAGTGAGATCACCCCTACTGTTGTGTTGAGCAGTCCTCTCTAAATCGGGCCGATGCAAACGAGCATCAGCAACGACATTAAGTCGTCCTGGTTCATGCTCGACGAAGAAGTTGTACTCCGCGAAGAAAGACAGCGATCTCGCCATTCTTTGCGAGAGTTGTGGGCTGCTAACGGCCTTGCGTAACGACGCATGGTCGGTATAAACGATGAGGGCCTATCTAGTAAGAGATATGTCAGAAACTTGGCCAGTGCATTTTTATGGCAAAGCGTCTCTTGTCATGTACTGGGTAAGTGCTCTCAGCTGCTCGCAGCTGACACGATCGATAACCGACAACGTGATCAATGCCGTCTGAGTCGTACTGCATTAACGCGCAGCCGATTGCAAAATCGCTGGCGTCACAGATCACATGAAATTGTCTTTCTTTGTTGTCTTCCGCCAACACAGAAGATTGTACCAAGCTTTTCATGATACCTTTAAAAGAGTGCTGACACTAAGCACACCATGACCACCTCTCGTTTTTCCTTAGAAAACGAGAGAGATGCACGGTCATCTAGGCGCGGTTGCGCGTTTACTTGTGCAAGCACGCCGTCAAGCCAAGGAACTTTTGAAGTCCCTTGACATCTACTGGCACAGGCCACTAGCTAATCGCCTTGATCTTTTCCAGATTAGGGCGTACGCTTTTGACCTACATGCAGACAAGAAGTGGTATTTTGCTCGCTGCGAATATACACTTCTTGAGGTTCGCGAACAACTTATGCTCACGCACAAGTGTAAAAACCTTCCGGACGTGGATTTTATGAATTTCCACGTCCTTCTTTCCATCCACACCCCGGCTATGGACGAAGACATTGTCGAAGTAACTCGGTGCGAAATCGTGCACCGATCGCAACAGATCTGTAACACATCTGTTGACCGTTGCCGGGGCACTACTTAGCCTCTGTGGAATCACTAGCCACTCCCAGGGAATATTACTGGGGTTTCTTACTGCTGTATACGGGAAGTCTCGTGTACACATGAGGATCTGATAGAATCCATCCATTAGATCCATCGACGAAAAGTTGGTTCTTTTTTTGCCATACCATCTATTTTGTCGTCCTTCCTTGGTATTGGCTTCTGAGCTGGTACCATTGCAGCGTTCAACTTGTTGAGCGCGTGCACTATCCCCCACCCTCCTGTGGCCTTTCGCACACAGAAGGTCGGAGAGCAGTGTGGGGATGTTGATTCCCTCACATGACCAGCCGCTTAGCGATCGGCAAAAAGTATGTCGATCGCTGTGACCTGTTCACGAGGCAGTGGCCACTGCTTTATGACACTGTATTTTGAACCAGGTTTCAGTTCGATCTCATGCCGAGTGCCTTTGTCCTCGGGAAACTTGCATGGCACGGATTCCGGGAAAACATACCTGAGTTCAACCAAATCCTTACACAAGGATATGTCTTCAAAGACTCCCAAGATTGAGACGTGTATCGCTCAATCCTGGTCTTCCCATCGAGGACAGTCTCTTCTATCGATGAGCTACTGAAAACCCGTTCTTTCTCAGAATACACTTGTGTCGACCGAATATCGGCGACGTACTCGTTCTCTGTGACAAGTACGCAGATCTGCTTTATCTTTTCAACAAGCAGGTCTCGAAAGAATCTCTTAGAATATATCGTTGGCACCTCGATTACCTCCAAAGCTGACTTCGGAGTTGTAACCAGATCAAGTGTATAAGCGCCTACACTTGATTCGTCATTCACTAAGACATTCAATGTCTCGGTGATTTTCTGGGAAAACACATCCGCAGGTGGTTGGGTCTCCACACCCCCAACATAACTCTCTCGGGAGTTATCACTCTCAGGAACGCTGGGACTTTCTGCCATTACGTGTACTATCACGGTCGCGTCCTCTTCGATCGACTCTCTTTCAGTCGAGCGGGTTTGCTCTACGATCGAATCTCTGTTTGTCGATCTTGCTTCAACGTGTTGTTCATCCTGAACAACACTCGTCTCTCTTCTTGGATGCACCCTTCTTGGTGTACATCCGTGTTCCAGTCCACTCGATCTCTTCGAGTGGTGAACCTTCGGCGCAGCCTGTGTCTCTACACAGGTGCCGGAAGCTGGTTCCACAGTGCAGTGGCCTTCTACACTGTGATCTTGTGTCGTCGTACTAACGAACTTACCAAAAGTGAGGCCATTTCAATCACTCGTCGTACATCCACACGCTTGTGGACGCTCCAAGACGTTCATCAGATGGCCATCTGACGAACAAATGGCAGGCATCTTCACGGATCGATGCTGTCAGCTAACCCATGGCTGGTATTATCTAAGCCATGGCAGACCTAGGATGACATCAAATCTGTCATCCAAATCCAGTACGATGAAGTCATCATCGTACTGCTTTCCTTCTAGCGTGTACTGGATTCTCACTACACGTTGGTTCAATGTTACGGATGCGCCTGTAGCAAGGCACACCGTCATCCTCGTTGGAGGGAACTCTCGCTCAGCATAGTTGAGCCTACTATCCTCTAGCGACTGGCGTCGAATAAAACTGTTCGACGCCCCACAGTCAACTAGGGTGCGAAGTGACATTCCACTTGTCATATCGATCGTGATGAGTGACTCCTCATCACTAAGGGCAGTAACACACAGCGACTGTGTGTTGGGAGCAATCTTCGTCAAGATTCCTGAAAATCCACTTGACGTTGCTGGATCAGCAGGGTGCTCCACCCTACTGACTCTGTCCGTTTTTTGACGGTCCGACTTGCTGTCGCGGCTTAGCAACAAGGTCGGACCCACGCCTTGGACCTTTCCTTGGCCAACAGTGGTCATCCCTTCCTGTCTTTAGACGTGTTGCGGTGCTTGAGACACTACACTCATGAGAGTAGTTTTCAATTTTCTAACAGCGATGGCATCTTGCAGTTCTCTTGTGACTCAGAGAGAGAGAGTTCTCGCTCTCGATGTAACAGAGGTCCGTTTGGTTCGGGACCTCCTGTTTCCTGTCGCCTCGTCGGACCATAGATTGACTAGTTAGCCTGATACTGTTAAAGGCTAAAGTCTTATTGTTCGGCAATCGTTATTGCCTTTTCCAGCGAATGGAATTCCTCTCGGAACATGTAGGTCTTCACCGGCCCATCCACAAGGCCGCAGATGAATGCGTTGATGAGTGTATGCTCATCAACAGATTTTTCCGTGACGCTACTAGCAAGGTAGCCCAGGTGCTGTGCGTAATCGTGCACATCACGCTTATCTTGCTTGAGCCTCAGAGTGCAGAGCGTGATCTGAACTTGGCTCCTGGCGGTTCAAGCGTCTCTTTGAGCCGAAAATTGAGATCTTCAACGGCTCGAACACTTTTGAATCATGAAGCTTGAGCCCTAAGGCTTAAGTTTGTGCTCGTCCTGTCAAATTTGGCAGGGAGAA